TTGCTGTGAGGGGGAGAAGGTGTCCAAGACAGCTGGCTGGGTTGTTCTAAAGAGAACTTATTCAGAGCTTGGGAACAAACCCTGCCTTTGCACATGAAAATCAGGAATTGCAGCACAAAGCCTGCCTGGCTAATTAAGACACTTCTTAGTGAACAGAGCTGCTAAAAGGGAGCATACAAGAAATGGAAATAAGGAGGGAAAATGAAAGAAGAGTGCAAGTGCATGCCTGGGGTACTTAGGGATGAAAGCAGAAGGACTGAAAACCAGCTGGAGCAAAGACTGGCCAGAGATGTTAAGAGTAACAAAAAGGGGGTTTGTAAGTATTTCAACAGCATACTCCATGGAAAATGTGGGTTGATTGTTGGGGTGGGGGATAGCCTAACAATGGGTGATTATGGAAAAGGTTGAATGCCTTTTTTTGGCCTCAGTTTATATATGTCAGATTTGCTCCAAGCTTCTGCACATAGCAACAGCATTTGGGAAGGAGAACAGCCAACATTGCGGAAAAAAGGTTAAGAACTACTTAGTGAAATTAAATGCATTTCCATCCATAAGACTGGATGACATTCATCCCAGTGCTCTGATAGAGTTCTCTGATGTGATCATGAGGCTGTTGCCTGCCATCTACAAAACGTGTCCAGCCTCTGCCTCCCCACTGGGTGTTTCCAAGAGTTATACACATCTCAAGAAAGGGGAAAAGGACAATGTGAAGAGCTGTAGGGGTCATCCTCACCTTGGACCTAGAAAGATCATGGGGTGTGTCCTCTGGGAATTAATTCCTGGATATACGAAGAGCAAGAAGACAGGGACCCAGGGACTCCAAGCTACAGGACATGGAGTGGAGGCTGGTGTACAAGATGCTCTGCAGAAACAGATCAGGGTGAGAGAAACCATGCAAAAGAGCCTGCTTTTCTTCTTTGGTGGTAATGATTTAAATTGGTGCCAAGAAGAAAGCTTGCATTTCAGGGGTACAAAGAAACCACTTGGTGGTTCTGGTACTAAATCCTTCTCTTCTCTGCAAAAAAAAACCGAAAAAAAAGGAAGAAACCACAAACAATGGGAGCTTGCATGGGTCAGGAACCATTCCTAAGATGTAGTCTGGCTGTAGCTGCCCTGTTTTGTAGTTAATAATAAGGACGTGGCCAGATTTGTCAGTTGGCCTTTGGTCAGAGAGTGGGTCCTGGCTGCTGGTGAAGATGCAGCTCTTGGTGTTCTCATACATACCAGTGATTCTACCTCTGGATGGGAGGTTTGTATGGCGTGGATCAAGAAAACTTTGTCTGCACAGCCTAGGCTTAAACTTACACTAGAGATCTGTCCGTTCACAAGACTTACAAGTCATTAGTGATTGCTGCTTTATAAGAAAGGCTTATTGCACACTGTCCTGACTGTGCTTCTTCATGTGGTTGTTGCAGCTCTGTTGGTGAACTGATGAGAACCACGGACCCTCTTCTGTCCATGGGACCAACTGGTGTGGCGCAGACATGTTCATATGGTTAAATCCTCATAACCCAAAAGAGGTAGCTGCATTCCAGTTTGGGATGGTACCTGGCTTACATTAACTCCTGAGCCATAATTTCTTGCTTGCTTGGGTCAGTGCAGCTGTACTGGACCAACAACACGCCAGGATCATGCTGACAACTGAGCAGTCACAGATAACCTTTGGGAAACCCCATGCCAAAGGCGAAGCTTTCACTGGAATTGGCAGCATGGGAAAGGGCAGTCTAACAAGCTGCTGGTTTCACAGGAGGATTTAATAGCATTAAGAACTTGATCCCTCTGATTTGTTAGAAGCCTTGCAACCAGCTTCCAACCTTAATGCACCTGCAGGACAGGCTTTCATCCAAAAGCTCAGTCCCAGCAGCTTCCAGGGTGGCAAAGACATGCTGAGCATGTCAAAGCGCTCACATCTGGAAGTCCAGAAGGTCCTTGGCTGTACCTCAGGCTGGAGATGCACAACATGGGGCATCCTGCATCTCATTTTCCACCTTATAATCAGAGGATAATTGTTCTACCTACCTTTCTGTGGTGGTAGGAAGGAGATGAACTTTGCAGATCTCTGCATAGCACTGTTAGCAGAATTCCTGCTTCCTATTGAGCAGCCTCCCTGGCTACCCAGGTTGCAAGCTAAAGCAGTTGGGAGAAACTCCATCTGCCTCCCTGAGCAATCCCCATCCTAAAGAAACCCCCTTGTAGCACATGGCATTTTTGTAGCAACTCTTTCCTACCCTCATTGTTCCCAGGCAGAAGAGACAATGATCTAAGAATGCAAAGCTCCTGAAACCCCTCCAGAAAGCTGTGATTTATGAGCAGCCTGTTCCAACTGGCAGAGGGAAACCATCAGTGGAACAAAAACATTGTGTAATAGCCCTCCTCCTCCTGCTCCCCCCTCAAGAGGCAGGCAGGGAAGGGGGGCTGAGACAGACACCAAGGCAAAGGGCAGCAGAAAATCACTGGGAATCTTCTGCCACTATGTCAGGGCTTCGGCACTGCAGACCTCTCACATTGGCTGACCTGGAGAGTTTTGAAACACATTTTGATGCTGAAGGCAGTGACCAGGATGGTTTGATTGCCCCAGGGATTGGACCACAGGGACTCTGCACCATCTGCCTTTGCAAGGATGGGGCAAGTCCAGATCTCATCTGCTCTGAATGATGGAGTGAGTCCCTTGGTCCTTCCTCATAAAACAGGTTGCAAATATGAGAGATGAAAGCCTGCAATCATGAATTTACCCCAAATCTGATCACTGATTACCTTAAAATCCACATCCAACCACTGCAGCCTGGGACACAGCTTCACATGACTGAGTGTGGTCATCTGAGGCTTAGGGGTATTCTTTGCTTGGAGAGGGCAGGGAGGTGCTGGTGTTTTCAGCTTTACAGGTTTCCCAGGTACCACAGAGACCAGCAAGGATTTCGGGAGTGGTTTGCACATCTTTCAGTGTCATTTCTCCTTTGGGCTGCTGCATGGCTCCTATGGACGCCGGTTGGGTTGTAAGCAATACCCAAGGCGTGATTTCGCCCCGAGGTTTTGGGATGCTTTGCTCCCTTGTGTGTATGTCCTCAGACACAACACTTGGTTGTAAAATGTGCATCGAGGGAGGCGAGTCTGATTCTGGTTTTGGTGTGTAGCCTGCCACTTCCTCTTTGCAATCCTTTTTTATTCTCCCCCCCGCCCCGCCTTCTGTCTTCCTGATCTAAAATAAAACCCACTAACAGACAGTGTCAGTCTGTGAAGAGAAAACCACAAGGTGCTGGGAATACTCCAGCTGGGACTTTTCCATATATATTTTTTCCATATATATATATAAAAAGAAGCTAGACCGTGATAGCTGAAATACTGTGTAACAGAGGCAGTCTGAAAATTCTGCCTTTAAGTCAAACGTATCATTCCCCAGCATTCCTGGTGTAAATGGGACCTGTTGGGGCATTTCTATGGTATCTCAATTGAATTTCATGGAGGGTTATATGGACATTTGGGGGGGATGTCACAATAGAAATCACTCCCTGATTATACGATAGCACTTCCCAGTGGCAAAAGAGCGAGAAATGAGACACTCTCCTAGGAACAATGACCCTTTTCATTGTTGCTGCACTGGGGCTGTGACATTCGAGCAAGGTCTTGTCTATTAGTAGGTCGAGGCAGACCATGCTTGGGAGAGAAGCCAATTGACCCTAAGTTAAAATGTGTAAAATTGCTTTCTGCTTCCTCTTAAGTGACCCAAAGGAAGTCAGAAATCAAGCTGGGCCAATTCATATTTAACTGAATTCTTCGTGCTGAATAGTAAATAGAGGCTTGGGTTAATTAAAACTTCAGGGATTTGGTCTAGTTGGATAAATGTACAATACTCACTGAAAAAGAGGAACTGGAAAAGTTTCATTAAGGCTGTTTAAGAGAAAATATTTTGACTGCTCATTACAAAACAACTCATGAATAAAAATAAGGTGTTAAGGGCTTCAGTTTCTATTTATAATTTTGAAACTGTTTTAAGTTAAACATGACCAATTAAAATGCTAGCCTGATTCCCCCACATCCAAAATTTGCATTAAGGTTTTTGGAGCAAGAAGTAATATGAAATTTGATCTTCTAGTTAGCACGTAGAAATCTGTGGTCTTCCAGTATACCCAACTAAAATAACAATGCAGTTCATTATTCACATGGACTAGTCTCAAACTTTCTCTTTAATTTCAGTGAGGAACACGTCTCATTGCTGGGTGGCTGTGGACAACCCGTAAATCAACATCCAGCCGATCCCTGCTTCTAATATTTGGATCAGCAGCCACTGGTACTCCAGATGGAGATACCACAGTCTTGATTAGGTGTTCTACACATGTGGCCACATTAAAGGGCACTTTCAGGACCAATTGCAGAAGTGTCAAACTTAATGGCTACCAGCCTTTCACTGCAGGCATCATGGGTCACCTAGGAAAGGGGATGTGGCCATAAGCCACTTGCACTAGTAAAGGCACTCGGAGGCATGAATCATCTCACTGCAAACTGCTGAGACCAGGAGGCTCCTCTGTGGGAACTTGTGATGGGACCAGTGACCTGTACTTACATTTCTCAAGGCCCTCACAACCTTTGGATGACTTGTTTGTTTTAAAGTTCAACAGAAATCAGACATACTCCTACTTATATTTTTCCCTAGCCTGTTATATTTTGAAGTGCCTAGACCCACTTTTGACTCAGTGGCTGACAAACAAAACAGCTCCTCATGTAAAACAGTAGCGTTTTGGCTTTGTTTTCCATACACTTTTTCCCAAATACATAATAAATGCTCCCACCTTAGTTTTTCCCCATCTCCTCCAGACTGCAAGGTGGAGCAGCAATTACTGATGAAGCTGCATCAGTAATTCTAACCAGTGATGCATTTGGGTACAAAAACTTGACTGGAAACCTTGCACACCTATAAACCTTGAGCACACAAGACTTGTGCTTCCCCGACCTCTCTCCAGGCAGAGCTGGAGCCATTGAACACAGTGAGAGACCAGAGGCAGGAATCAATACAGACATAATTTTATGATTAAAAAATTGTGCATTTGGACAAACAGCTGGCAGATACAACCATCCCTCATCCCACTTAATGCAGAAAATATGTGTCTGGAACCCAGACGTCTGATACTTCTAATGCCACATATAAGGAACTCCTAAGACTGTGCTTGTACTAACCTCCTGCATTCGACTACCTGACAAGAGCCCAAAGGCAGGTCCACCCTTTTGTTGGCTCTAACTGATCCTAGAGAGAACTAGCCTCCCTCTTCCAAGGCATTATTTTTACTGAAGAGTTGTCATTGCTATCTTTTAATCAAAAAAGCCTCCGAAAATCAACATGTGGGACATAAATTGATTTCTTTTCATTAAAAAAGTAATCAAAGAAGAATTTTAATGAGATTTTCCAGACATCCATGGGGAAATAAGGCTATTTCTCTACTACTGTAAACACAACAATGTCGTGGCTGGTTGTCTTGTCCAGAGGCTAACTGACACTCTGGCCACAACCCTATTGAACCTTTGCTACCTGGGCAGCACCAGATTCAGCACCCAGGCATGGCACTGATTAACTTACTGGTATAGATAGAGCTGCTGTGCCCCAAATACCTCCTTCCTTAGAAATGATACCCAATGAGCTTTAAAGTGGAGGGGGAGGCATCACTGAGGGCTTACATACTATGGGAGACAGAGGACTGAACTCAGTTCCAGAGCCCCCTACCAGTTCCCCAGCCCCATGCGGCTATGAACATCTTCATGATGTTAGTTTGTTCCTCCTGTGGAGACAGACGAATTATTTGTCTTCTCTGCATTGACCTAAGCTCCTTGTGAAAACCCCAAGTCTCGATGCCTCATTGCAACTTCCCAGGCATGGCAGAGTCTCATTAATTTCTGGTTCACACCACATACGAGAACAAAGACATGGGGCCACCACTCTACCTCCTGAGAGAGGCATCCTGTGGGCTCACATGCACACACACAAAACAACTTATGCACACACACAGCTTACAGACACAGTCAGGTACAGGCACGTCAACACAGCCACACAGCTTTCAGCTCAGTGCTGACTTGCATCTCCCGCTCATCCCCAGGGCTTGGGCTGGTGCTGCATGGACACAGTCACGTTCACCCAGCCACAGAGCGCTGTGCTTGGGCATGTGGAGGGGAGCAGAGCTGGGCTGGGGCGATGAGTTGGGAGATTGTACCACTCTGACATGGTCAGGAGTGGCGCTGGCACAGGAGGAAGAGCCTACAGGCACCCAGGCTTGGTCTAGTCAGACTGCTTTGGGTGCCAGGTGCCCCAAGACCTCTTGAGTCCCTGCCCTTGCTGGGCTGCACCATGGGTGTCTCTGCCCTCTGTGCCATGCAGAGGCAAGTGTGCAGCTATGTGCACAAAAGGCAAAAATCTATCTCATCCATCTGACATCCTACGAAGCAGAGAGGGAATCCCGTGGGTTTGCTGCAGGTCCGAAGTTCATCACAGCAATATTTCTCCCTTTAATTTTATAGTCACACTTTACATTCATCACAGAAAAGTCCCTTTTCTCCTCTCCTCTTCTGATGGATGTGTGCTGCTACAGAGGATCCGGGATTTGCTGGTGCTGCTGTTGTGGTAAAGTCAGCCTGCGGTGATTTCTCTCATATGAGATGTCTTGGCGGTAAGTTACCTTCTTTGCCTTACTGCAGGGGTAATCACATGGTGTCTTGTGGCCACTGCTGACAAGAAGATCATAATCGTATATTGCTCTGGTTATAACTTCTAGGGCACACAAGCTACTTCTGGCTGGCTGGAGTCTCTATACAAATGTGTCCATGATCTGCCCATAATCTATACCACAGGCAAAATGAAAATAGAGTACACTGGACTCAATGGAGCAAGTCAACAAACACATCTTCTCACCAGTTCCTGGGGCTGCATACCATTTTACCCACTATCCCTTCCCTGCTGGGAGGGATCCTTTCCGCTGGCAATTGGCTTCCACCTGAAATAGCCCCATGGACCCCGTGTTTGGGCCAGCAGAGGCTGAGGATTGTTGCCTAAGGTGACATCCATGGAGGAGAGTGATTTATCTTCTGAAGAGGCAGCTCTAGCCTGGGGGAAGGTAAAGGGGAAAGCAAAAGGGATTTTGCTTTACTTTGTGGCTGATCTTTGACTCCTTCCTGTGATTTTTGGCTACAACCAACCACACTGGAGCTGCGTTGTCTTAGTAACTGTGTGGGGAAGAGAACGGACTTTGCAAAGGAGCAGCCTAAGTGCACATCTCGGGTTCAGATGCTCCCCACACATCCCTCATACAGGATTTGTCTTCTCAATGAGCATCTCTGGGCCATCCCAGTGTGCAGCTCCACTGCTCTACCCTGCCACCAAGAGCCAGCTGTGGGTACCCTGTTTTCTCCTGTTCCCTCTGGTCCTCTTTGGCCTCTTTTCACCCAGCTGCCAGGCAGAGAGAGCCGTGGCTCTGCCCAGTCTTCTCTTTCTCCCCCATCCTTCCCTCTTCTTCCCTCCTTCAGCACAGCGAGAACCGCCGGGAGTTGATGTTCATCTTGGTGACCCCGATGAGCTTGAGCGGCGTGGAGAGGCTGAAGGAGCTCACAAGGGGGAAGTCACAGAAGAGGTCAGCGAGCTCGTCCCTCTCCTCCAGCTCGTACGTGGCGTCGTTGAGCATGCGCTGGTGGAGGTGGCAGGTCTGCTCGATCTTCAGCTTGTTGATGTCGCTGCGGAGCCGCATGAGCTGCCTCGCCAGCTGCTGGTCCTGCAGGCGCATTTCTGCCTGGAACACAAGACGGAGGGTGGGGAGAGAAGAGGGTATTGGCAAGGGAACGTCAAATCTGGTCATCGCGATACCATGATATCAGCTCCCAGACAGTGGCCGCGCTAAATCACCAGAAATGAAACTCTGTGAGAGAGGCTACACCATTGGAAAGAACTGGGAGGGAGATAAGCATCTTCCAAGCCAGCAGTGCATCCCTGTCATATACCAGCTCAGGATGGTGAATTATCAGCTCTCAGGAAGTCTGTGCCTGCTCAGGTTTTTCAGGAGTTAAAGCCAGCCATGCCAAGGCTGTTGGCTTGGGTACCTGTTCAGAGCAGGCTTCAGCACTTCCATCTCAACCTTAAGCAAAGCTTAAATTAATTTTGCCCATAAGGGAGCAGCCACAGAGAGAAGGAGCAATTAGAGGTGGAAAGGACCAATTAAAAGAACCCCAGAGAACTCATCCCCAAATACTTGGCTCATGTTTCCAGCCTGCATAAATCAGGGCTGGTTCATGACACCCGGGAACATAGGCCTCCACATCCCCCATGGCTTATATGTGAAGGAGCTCTTGGGATGGGACATCCACAGTTTCGCACAGGAGTGAGAACAATTATCCTGCAGGCTAATGAGCTAAGTGTTTTGGAGGGCTTTTTCCTCCCTTAGCACCTACCTTTGGAAAGTGGAGGATTCAGAAGCGATGAAAGAAAAGAGCTTGGGGTTTGGTGTTTTTTTTTTAATTTCAACTTATAATAAAGCTGAAAATTCATGGCCACAGGTTACTGGGAGTGGTGATGGAAAGAGGTGAATGTTTGGTGCAAGGATCAGCCTTTGTCTGGGGAACAGAAGCAGGCAGAGCTAGAACAGCAAATGCCGAAAGCACAATCCCTACTTCTCACCCCCCATCCCTCCTCACAGAAAAGCACAAGCCATGTAAACTGCAAAGAAAAGAAGGTGGTGGGAGAGAATCCGAACAGCTCTGAGCAAACCTTGTGGCTTAAATCTCTGTAACTGCTAGAAACAAGGAGGGAAAAAGCCTGGAATACAGTCCTACATCTCCCCTAATGTAATATCCTACCTCTTTCCCTGTTGCCTCCACCTCAGGACATGAACTGGCACTGGAAGAAGCCTCTTGGAAGCAAAGATCCTGATTTTTATTTGTGGGTTTGTTTTCTTTTCCTCCCAGGGGCTTCCTGGGTAAGTCCTGTCCTTGCTGAGTTCTCAGTGCATGAGATGATGCCCTGAGCTCACTTCAAGCTGCACAGTGGAGCTGCCCTGAACCCAAATCCATCATTTAGGTCACTCCTTTGACTTGCATCACTGATTTCTCAGCTCCCTGTGGTTTGAATGAGAAGCTCAGGAACAGACCCAGACTACATCTATATTCATATGATAATATTAACTGAATATATTTAATATTATTTAATATATTCTATATTATTTAATTATATGTTGAATGTTATTTATTATATTAAATAGCACATTGCAACAAAGTCTTCCTCTCTGCTCAATTGTGAGCAAGGTCCTGGCATCCTCTGAGCTGAGATCAGCTCTCACAATCCCAAGCTATTCCCCACAGGCACTCTTCAGGAGTTAACATAGAGGGATTTGTCCTCTGAAGGCATTTGGGTTACAACCCCCTTGTCTGGATTTTAACAGTGTGGATTCAGCCAGACCATACCAGTTGCCTCCAGGCACAAAACCAAACTGTTTAGTTTACAAGTACAGAGGTAGCTCTAGGGGTTGGGGGTAAATTTATTCCTGATCTGGTGACTCATACATAAAGCTGCATAAGGGAAGGGAGGAGGGAAAATTCCCCTTGAGAAGCTCCACAGGTGGCTCTGGTATTTCTGCATGAGGCTTTTTTGATGCCTGATGCATGGGCTGCTACAAGGATGTGAACCACAGCAATCTCAGGATTGCTCTAGCTTGTGGCATAATCCCTCCTCCTCCAGGCAATGCCTCCAAAGACATTTGGATCACCCCTTCCAACATTTTCAGTCTCACAGCGAGGTGGAGCAGCCACCCTAGGATGTTGAAGAGCTTGGGGGGAAGCCTCGCTCTGCTCCAGCTGTTTTCTGCAGCTGTCAGGAAGCCCTTTGCAATGCTGTGCTCAGAGCCTACGCTGAGAGCTGATGTGTGTATAGGGAAAGTTAAACCAAGCCAAGCAAGGCTTTTCTCAATCCTGGACCATGGAAACATCTGGAGGACCTTGCCTAGTGCTCTCAGCCAGTGACTGGATTCCAGCTTAGTTGCCTGGAGAGGGTACGGTCACCTTTTTACCAGTCCCTGAGCGAATCTCTTTTTCTGTCTCAGGGAACTTCAAATCATTGGCAGAGTTGTGGCCATTTGCCTCCTTCAAAAAAACACTATTTCCTTGTGGACCTCATAGCCTGTGCCCCCAGCAGAGTAACGCCACTGGGCAGGTTTTTCTTCTCCCATCTCAGTTGCAACGAAAAAAAACCTCCTCATTTTGTTGATATTTTTCCCTGCTTCACAACCACTGCTGCGCCTTGACGTTTTATCAGGAAGGTGATCGTGGGCATTACTGAACTTACCCGTGGTCATTCTTCCTTGTCAGTTTATCAAGATACATGAGAAATATCAACAAATGCTTTCAAGAATGTGGGATTAAAAAAGTCACCACTGCCACAAAGGGTTTAAAAATTAATTACAAGGCCATTGTGGAGGGGGATGTGAGTTGGTGGTTGCTGTTTTTCCCTTGTGAGCCAGCTTCCACTTTTTCACCTGTTGTTGCTTCCCCTGTCTTTTGAGGAAGCTGTCGTGATTTCATGCAAGCTGGAAGTCGAAATCCCTCCAGGACATGTCCTTTGGGTGCTCCATCTCCACTCACCCTTCCTTCCCTCCATCAGACTTGCTCACCCTGACATCTACCGAGCCAGCCACACGGCCTGCTGGCCTGCCTGTAAGGTGGGAGCAACATGGCATAGAGCAAACCCACCACCCATCTACACTGATCACCTAGGCTGTGAGACTGTCTTGGATACAGCTGTCTCTTGTCTGTGCTGCTGGCTGAATGGGGAAGCAAGGCTGACCAGTCAGATGTGCGCTATCAGTCTCTCACTCATCCCACTCATTAGGGCTTGGCTTGAGGTGCAAAACCCTGTCCCTCCTCCATGGACTTGTCCCATTAAACCTTGCTTTGTTCAAAACCAGCCAGAATATTAGCATAATTTGGGTCAGAATCCAGAAATCCTCATTCTCCTTTCCTTTCCGAAAGGCTCCACAGGAGTGTCAGAAACATTCAATCTGTCCCATGCTGAGGAGCCAGCCATTGCTAGGAATTATGAATGATCACTCTTTAAAAGGAGCACTCTCCGGTCAGCAGAGCTCCACAAAGAAATAATGAGATTACAGGGCCCGCATCACAGGAAGCCATGGGGTTTTCAGTTTACACAGTTCATCTACAGGGCCAGTCACCACAAAGTAACTCAATGAACCAGTTATTCTGTGTGGGATGACAGCATGATCCCACACACTCTGTGTCATGTCCTGGGGAAACCCATAGGGAGCACCCAGCAGAAGCCATGCATTTTGATTCCTTCAAGTCTCACACGCCAAATGAAGGAAGAACCTTAGGTATGTCTTGCTCACACCAACCACTTTTTAACCCCCCAAAGAGCTGCCTTTCATCTGCATGATTGAAGCATGCTGTTGGGATGGACAGGCTGACAGTTTCAGGTCCTCCCTGGCAGAGGAGCTATTGCAACTGCTAGACTGAATCACAAAGCTGGTCCACAGGATACTATGAGCCCACAAAGGATTTTCTGTTTGGAATGAGCCTCTGAGTCATCCAGGGATGTTTAATGTAGGGGAGGGAGATAACAGACAGGGATGCATCCTTGCCTGTTGTCCAGTCTCAGTAGCCTAGTCCAGACTTGTCTTCAAGTTTGCCTTATCTATTTGGTCAGACAGGAAGACCCACTGCCAGTGGTCCACCTATGGGGGGATGCATCAGCAGAGAGCAAGTACCCCATGACATGGAGATGTGGAGCCCTTTGGGACCTCTTCCCAAAAGAGAACTGGACCACGGACAAAGTCTTAGTCTGTGGTCCATGAAGTTCAAGTCTGTAGGGAAGTGGCTGCTCCCATGGAACTAGTCCTTCTGATTTCCAAAAGATCAAAAGAAACTTAAATCTAAACTGGTGCTTTCCGAACTACATGCAGCCACTTGGATTCAAGCATGAGGAAGCACTGGCCAGTTATCAGGCCCTTACCAAACACTTCAGAGAAGTAGTTAAGTGTGTGTTTTGATCTGAGACTTCATCTTCAAAGGTGTTCAGATGCTACCCTGCTATGGCTATTTTTATATACTCATGCCCTTATACTGCAACCCACAGCCCCAAATGAGGTATCTCATCTCCTTCTCTACTGCAGGGCTACTGAAACCCTGGCACAGGTTGCCCAGAGAAGCTGTGGCTGCCCCATCCCTGGCAGTGTTCAAGGCCAGGTTGGATGGGGCTTGGATCAACCCGGTCTAGTGGAAGGTGTCCCTGCCCGTGGCAGAGGAGGTGGAACTGGATAAGCTTTAAGGTCCATTCTGGCCCAAACTATTCAGTGTTCTATGCACTTAACAGTAGAGATGACCCCGCTCTGGTCCTTTCATTGCTTTAAATACAAATACAGAGAAGTCCTTCAAGGTTCTGCTACGTAACAGAGGACTCCCAATGCAGGACAGTCTCCACCACCATATCCATTCCGTACACTCTTCCTACTCTTCACCTCCCAACAACCACAGAGCAATATGCAATGAGACTCATGTCAACACTATTTTGGTGCTGCATCATTGTTTAAGTTAATTTAAGTACTTATTCAGCCAATATCAGTACCCTAAAAGGAGATAATAGTGGTTAATACTCAAGTGTCTGATGAACAGGGCATGGGTGTTCTATGTTTTTCCCAGGAGAATGCATCAGGCATTTGTGTCCCTCTTCAAGAGTCTTGCCTGCATTCTGGCTCACACACCTCAGATTTCAATGCCAAACACTGGTGAATTTGAGATGGAAAAAGCATTTTCCTACTCGGACAAAGTCAGAACTGTTCCAAGATGTCCCAGTTCACAGCTCTGTTCTTTAACCACATTTAAGAGGAAGAAGACTTTGAGGGCTTAATTTTAGAACTCACAAAACCTGTCATATTTCAAGAACAAAGAGGAAAGCGCAGTCTGACCACTCTGATCCTTGGGTCTGTCACCATACCCTAGCTGGCGATGGCTCTGCTTCCAGCATTGATGAAGAGCAGCCACACTTGACAGTGGAAAGGCAAACACGAAGGCAAAGAAGAGGCAGGAGGAGTTGGGGAGGGAAGTGCTGCAGCCCTGAGGCGGTTCAGCACATGCTGAGTGCTGCAATTTGCTCCTACACCTACACAGAGCCTCTCAGCGCAAAAACAAGAGCAGGAATTTGCATGGCTGAATAAATCAGCTTCTCAGGGCCAGATTCTCAGCAGGTCCCATCTGACGTGGCTGGCTGGAGCTCAGTGGGCATATGTCAGTCCTATAAAGCAGGGCCAGGACTCGATGTGCAGAATCAGGTCCTGGGACAGGTCATGTGGGGTAAAAGACCAAGAACAGCAGATGCACAGTAAGACCTTGGATTTGTCCTTCACTTCTGAACGTGAGGAGCCTCAACCTGCCAAAAGCTGAACCCAAGCAGACCCTGGAGACACAGAGGCAAATTCCTTGCAGCATGGAATCATAGAACTTTAGAGCACCAGGTTGGAAGGGACCTCAGGGGCCATCTGGTCCAACCTTTCTAGGCAAAGCATGACCTAGAGTAGATGATGTGTTTTGTGTGGAATGGGAGTAATCATTCAGATTTAACAGGGAACTTTAATTTTGAAGCTAGGAACTTCTGGACTATTAATTCCCCACACAACTAACCCATGCCGTAGCCTGTTCTATACCACCATGGCCAGGGACATGCATGGGCATACAGATACTACTGAAGTCACTTTGCCATCTCTACTGGCTTCGGCTGGGATAGAGTTACTTCCAAAATTGGGTGATCCCATACAAATTGTCTGTTGGGAACAGTCCCCAGCATGTGCAGACTCCTGAAGCTCTAACTGCTTGGCAGGGTGCTATCTGGTACAAGCCAAAACCATGCTGGGGCCATGCTATTGAAATAACCCAGCCTAAACATGCTGGTAGCTGTGGTGAGAGTTGCACAGCGTGAGTGATGGAGCTGCACACATTCAGTAAGGACACTGGCTGGTGTACTTCTTTTCTGGACAGAAATCTCTGCATTCACCAGCTTTTGCCATTTCATTGGATAGATGAATCCTGCATATCCCAAATCGACTTCTCATGAAGGACTGTGTAGAGTGGGGGAGAATTCACTGTGCAGCAGAGCACAGCATGACAGAGGCAGATTTCACCTCAGTTATGACTACTGGATCGTTTAGCATAACCTTCAGAAAGCTGCCCAGGATACTCAACACTTGCTTGGGTCGCGTGGTGCTCCCAGGTCTATGGTCTCCTATGTTAAATCAGATCAGAAGGATTGATCTCCCACATAGGGTGACTTTACCCAAGCTATAGATCGCTGGTGTCCTGCCTGGCTGCCCCAAGCAGGGTGCTGTCTGAGGGATGGTGCCCTTTCTGGCCTTTACTCCTGCCTTAAATAAATACATACACTTAGGCATAACCATATCCTTCTATGAAGCCTTCCTGACAGCTTTACTATCACAGTATGTGGATAAACAAGGAAAAATCCTAGCAGTGTTGGAATGTGTGGACGCTTGTTCACTTATTTGCAAAGAAACGGGGCTTCACCCTTGAAATGTAATGTGAAATGCATTCTTTTGTTCCAGCACCCTGTGATGCGCTGGCCTCACTGTGTTCTTGCTGTTCGCTGGCAGCTCTCACCCAACAATAGTACCTCCAACATAGCTATTTAACTGTGTGGTCAGTCAAATACATGCTCTCTTTTTTGGGAAACTGTTCTAAATTACATAAGTCACGTCCAGATCCAGAAAAGACTGGTATAATTATGAGGCAAGAAAATAGAAAGTGAGGAGCAATTAGGGTTTGATTTGCCCTTTTTCTTCTTTAATTTAAAGTTTCAGTTTTCGTCAGACAGTGGTTTATATACCACACCCCAGTCAAAAGGGTAGAATCAGACTCCGAGACAATTTATACTTCCACCATGGGCAGAAACTGAAAGAACAAATCTCTTCAAATCCAGGGCTCTGAGAAGGAAAATCTGCTTCTTACTGCCTGGGCATCTTGAGATTTGGGATTTACATCAAGTGTGATGTGAATTTAAGATTGCATCAGAGATGCAAGCATGGGCCCAGATTCAGGTCTCAGGTCTGGAGATGAGATTCCCAGAGAGCTGAGTGATTTTTAGGAGATCAGCTCAAAACTCTTCCTAACAGTCCTGGATTCCTGAAAGCACTGCAGCTGCCTTCTGAAGCCATGGTCCTGAGAAACGGCGCAAACACCACAACTGTGACATCCTGAACCACCTCTGTAAGTAACTTCTCCAGGGACCAATCTAGCGGGGCGAATACAGTAGGAGCACCAGAAAGGTGAAAATAAATACTATCTGAAACAAAAGTTGCAAAACTATTACTCATTGTTGTGCACAAGAAGTTTTCCTCAAAGACTTTCAGTGCTTATCACAAGCAAAATGTGCACAGGAACATTTTCACAAGTGCATCTGAACTGCAAGTGATGTCCCTGCCCCTGGGGATGCTGCTGCAAATGATGCCACTGTCAATACAGTTGCAAATGCTGGTAGGACTCACAGGCAAGCTTCCAATTAGCCACCAGAAACAAACACCAGAGTTTTGTCCAGTTATGTGTGCCAAACAATAAAGACTTTTCATTCCAGTGAGGAGAAGGGAAGGAAGTGGGGCCTTGGTGTCTGCTTGCTCATACACTTGAAGAGCACTGGGGCCTATTCTCCAGCCTTGGTCCTGTCATGTCCATTCTATTGACCTCCTGTGGCCATCAGAAAAGATGTGCTGTATCCACGCTTCCTTCTGGGAATGACCCCTACACTGTGCTGGCTCCTGAGCTGGGTTGGAAACTGTTTCGAACAGCACTAGTTGGTCCAGGCCAGATTTGTGCCAAAAACCATGACAGATAGCAACACAACATCTAGAAGATGCATTACAGCACCTATACACTGGCTCTGTGAGTTTCCCTAGCATAAGTGTAATTTTAATACATGTAACATTTTTGTCTTCTTTTCCTCTCTGTGAAACTACTGATTCATAACTATGAGAAATAAACGTATGTGTAAAACTGGACCCAAGGCTGGCATGGGAGGATGACAGAAATGTAGACCAGCTTCTAATGAAGCAGGAGCCAACAATGAACCTGTAAAAGCTGAGATAAGGTTCTGGCATCATGCATACAGTGGAAAAAGGGATATTAGTTGTTAGGTTTTACATGGTCAGCACAAGGGGATGCCACAACAGTTTGAAACAAAAGGAAGCACTTGGTCTCACCATGCAGAAATGACCTGGGGGAAGCACAAGAACTTGGAATCTCCTTCTTTGGAGACATTCAAGACCCGCCTGGACACGTTCCTGTGTAACCTTATCTAGGTGTTCCTGCTCCGGCAGGGGGATTGGACTAGATGATCTTTTGAGGTCCCTTCCAATCTCTAACCTACTGTGATACTGTGATACTGTGAACTTACAGAGTGTTATGAGTTAAAGAAAAAAGGGGGAATTAGGCAAACACTCTGAGGTCAGATTCACTAATGATAAACACAATGGTCAGCATAGAGCCTCGCACTGAGGGAGTTCCTAAACAGCCACAAGGTGCAAGAGCAGATCCAGGGGATGGATCTAGACATGTTTCCCCTCTTACTGCCCCAAAGAAGCATCTAGTGTGATACCCACAGGAGAAGTGCTGTTACACCAGCGCTGCCCCTGTACCCATGCTGTATTCATACCTGTTGCATTCATCTGAGTGTTGAGATGTAATTAGAGAAGCAGGGGACGGGGAAAACTGCAAACAAGTCTTAACTAGTACAGGCAACTGTTTCACCGTGGGATGCTGAGACTGGCTCAGCTCCTCTAAGGTTATGGATGCTCTGGCACTCATCTTTTCCCTTCCTGGGGCTGCTCCTGCCAGCCACAGAAAATGCAGTGATTGATTATTGCCTTTTCACCTGGGCATGTGAACAGGTAGGTAGGAACAAGGCAGGTAGGAACAAGGAGTCACTTGTTTCCTCATTCTTTATTTTCCCTCTTGATTAAGTGGGTGATATAAAAGGGGCAGGAAACCACTTACCAGTTCCTTCCTGAGCCACGTCAAAGCTTCATCGATGTTCTCAAAGCCACCTATTCTCCCTGAGGTAAGAGTCACCTTGTCCTGCGCAGGGCTCCCATTGAGGTGCAGCTGCACCTTCCTCAAGGGGACAGTCTCTCCCATGGCCTTTTTGGCTTCAGCTGTCTCTTCCTCCTCCTCTCCCGCTGGCTGAGGACTCTTCCATGCCTGCTCCTCCAGCTTTGCCTTCCACTCCAAGTAGGAAGGGCGCCTGGTTTCCAGTCTTAGCTTCTCTGTCAATGCCTTGAGGGTCCTCAGGTGGTCATCAGGAGGAGCAGCACCTCCAGAGCCAGCATCCATACTGTCCAGCACCTCTTCTATTTGGATTTTGGGTAGAGACATCCTCTCTGGGAGTCAAAAGGCATAGGGGTGGGCTGCAAAGGACCAGGAATGGGAAACCCTCAAGGTTTGACCAGGTATCACAGTGTCAAACACAGCTCCTCAGTGGACAGCCAGAGCAGTGGTAGCTCCCGCTCAAGCACCACGTTGGCCTTGGATGAACACCTAGAAGAAAAAGAGAGGGTTGGTTTCCAGTTTGAGAGGGAAAAGGGAGTGAGGAAAGAGACAGGAGGGAGTGAGGGCTTTGGGAGAGGCACGGTGCCAAGGTGCTCCTGGGGAGTGTTACCTCACCTCAGCTATCTGACTGCTTTTGGGGCAGGAACAGACAGGCTCTGGCTTTTAGGGAAGCTCTGGTTACCAACATCTCCAATCTTAACTTAGGGGGCCATGAAAGGGTTGCCAGGGACGGCAGGACACATTCACACAACCAGACATCCTCAGAAGGCAGCAATGGCTGTTGCTGGGTGTTGAGGTACCTGTGCACCCTACTTTGCTGATTTCCTGGCTGGGAAGCCTGCACCTTTCCATTTGGGCAAAACAGGGCCAGGTGAAGTTGGATTGAGTCAAGTGGAGGCCACAAAGATGCTCTAGGGGCTGAAGAATCTTTCCTATGGAGACAGGCTGAGAGAGCTGGGCTTGTCCAGCCTGGAGAAAAGAAGGCTCCAGGGAGACCTTTGACTTTCCAGTCCTAAAGGGGACCCCATGTTTTACAAACCTCTGTTTTGGTTTAGGTTTGCTAAGACACCAAATTGCAGCCATAACATTCAGCTCCCTCCTGTCGATCAGGATCAGGGCAGGATCATGTTCCCAGCCAAGTGTGGGAGTAACCACTCTGGATTCAGATTCCTGTGCTAAGGGAGACTTGAACTTGAGGTTTCCATCACTGGCCACGTCCAGTCTGCCCATGGGAAGGGTCCCAGTGGTCACCTTGAAAACATCCTTGTAGAGGACTAGCACAGCGGGGCCAGGAGCTTCCTCCCTGCTTCTTCTCATGCCACCACGTGTGGATTCAGGGAAGCTGTGCCCAAAGCTGCTCTACCAGACCATGGGACCTGCAGCGACAGAGGACTCAAACAACTCTGCAAGAGTTTAGCTCAGGCTGCTTCTGCATTTATTTGAGGGTAAGCTCAGAGACTTTCTCAAGGTCGTATGCTCATCTATGGCTGAGCTAGGAATAGATTCAGAGCTCTAGTCTACACAGCAAACACAAAACAAATACCTCTTTGCATGCCTGGTAACATGCCCAGAAAGACCAGCCAGGACGTATGCAGCTTTCTAGCAGGATGCACTGAACCACAGCACTATGAGTTACTCAGCCATTCTGCTCCCGGCTATTTGCGCCCACAAAGACGCGTGTAACTCTGAAATCCAGACCATAATTATGCCTCTTGGACCTTTTCAGTAAGAAGATTCAATTTAAAATAAACACCGTCAGAGAGCAAGATTTATCCCACAGTTGTGAGCAGGCACATGAGCCGAGCGAGGAGTTGATAATATACACACAGACAGTCTGGGGGTGGAGAATTAGTCATGTTGTGGTCTTGTTCCTGCTCTTATTTATGTTAATGAGAGTTTTACGGTGAGCGGGAGCAAACACAGACGCTATATCAGGTTGAAGCCAACAGCTCTCATGCTTGTAGCAGCGACAGTTTTCCTTCTTCTGTTGGGAAACAGATTGTATTGGAGGGGAAGGCAGAGGGATGCCCTATTGGAGAGTCAGGCCCTGCACCAGCTCTTGCACAGATGCTCTGCAGAGCTGAGGACATGTCGATGAATTTCACTTGTCTCCAGCTCCAGCCTACTGAAATCAAAAAGGGAAAACACCCAATGGCTTTAAACACCTCACCTCTGAGCTTTATTCATGACCACTGAGATGGAGATTGCTGGGGGTGTCCAAAACCAGCAGCCCAATAGGGTCTGCTGCAGCTCCAAACTGCAAGATTTGGTAACTCCTTGCAAAGACCGTATTGTTATTGTAAAGCCGACTTTTCCAAATGCCACAGCTACAAACCAGAGCCCTCACAAACTCTTCTGTGCCTTCAGCATGCACAAAATCCTCAGGGTGGAAAAGACTCCTGCTGTTTGAGCCCCGGGTACAGCTCAATTAACATTTATAGCATGGACCATAAAAACAGGACAGCAGTTTGGAGCATCCCTTTTGTCACAATGCCACTGCTGTGTCTCCTTCCCCAGCAGCTTTGGAAGAGCATCCCAGCAGCTTTGGAGGGAGTTGTGTTTTCTGTCCTAACAGCGGCATCAATCCAACCCATCCTTCACCTCCTCCCCAGTGTAACAGGAAACTTCTCACTCACTCTGTAGGGACATCCCTAAATAGCCATGTCTGTTCCCCAGCCTTTCCAAACTCAGAAACGACAGGAAGGAGTGGCTCTAATTTCCTATCAATACCTTGGACTTGGGTCAAAGACCTCCTGTGGAAAAAGGGATGTGAAAGCGGTAAGCGTGTGAAAAGTGTCTGTATGCAAGGCTGTAATACAAACCTGTTTGCAGCCTGGGAGCTACCTAATTCCCAGGAACAAACCTGGCCTCTGGCTCAAACCAACAGACCCCAGCCTCCCTGCCCCAGGCTCAGTTTCCCCCTAGGATGGCCTGTGCAAGGGAATGTAAGTAAGTGATTAACCCTTGATTTATCCTCTTTCTCACACTTGCCAGGCTCAGGAACATGCCTCATTAGGGGAAACAGTTTGGCAGCAAAATGGGGTGAGGGTCTGCTCCCACCTCCCTAAGACCCTTTTTTGCTCTGGCCCTTACATGAATCCTAGCAATGCCAAAGGCACAGGACACATCAGGTCACTGCAGTGACAAGAAAAACTGTAATTTCTTTCTTGGGTTAGGTTTCCATTGGCAAAGTCAGCTTAACTGACCTATTCTGCAAGCTGTAAGGCAAAGGAATTAGCAGAAGCACATGTCCAGGATGGAGAAATAACAGGATTGTCAACGTGGATTGTGTGTGAAGTTCTACTGTGCCAAGACTCAGGGAGCTGGCATGCCCTGAGGCTTGGCTTTTGCATGGCTGCAGGTCAGCAGCGCAAATCCTGCTCTCTCCTATGCCAGCCACACCTTGTGAAGCTCACGGTATGCCCTATCCTCTAAGAGATCAGGTCCAGCAGCACGATCTACTACCACAACTGTAGCCATTCCAATCCGGAAGCAGATGCAGATGTGTTCCATCCCACCCCTCTGATATCCCTGCCCATACCTTAGAGCAGGGGGTCAGGAGAGCCATGTGAACATCCCCTGATAAACCATGTATGATGGGGTAAGGAGGCAAGCAGAGGGGTGTGAGAAAAGCTTTGTGTTATCATCACTGATGATGGAAAACAATGAATTCAGATGCTGCTTGCTGTCAAAAGGGAGATTGTACAAAATTATGCCTTCTACCCTGCGGAGGTTTTATGTGCCTGAGAAGTTTTATACATCTGTACCTTCCCCATCAGCTCTCTGTGCCCTGGTCAGCTTTGCACATAAGGCATTCATGAAGCAGCACTGATTGCTGTGTACCGGGCTAGCGCAGCACAGGTACAGCCTGATAAATTCAAGGCTATAAATAAGGGCACACCGTACTTTGGAAGGTCACACTCTGAGGAGCAAGAAGTCTAGGAGAAGAAGGGGAAAAAAAGAAGGGGAAACACACAGGATGGAAACAGGAGAGATAAAGAAGAATAAATCAATCAGCCAAGGTAGAGGTGTGGGGAGCAAACTATTCTTCTCCCTTCACTATTCCTGGTGGACTTCAGCTTACTGCAACACCATTTTTTATTGCAGAGGAAGAGCAGTGATTGTAAGAGTCTATATTATGCTGCTCATCAGTCTCCAAGAAGACAAAAAGCCCCAGTATGAGACAAAGTCGAGGCTGAGGGAAGCCCTTTTGCAGGGTGAAGAGGTGCCCACGGATGAGACCTACAGCATGGGGTAAACAGGGCAGCCTGTTCACCAGGGTAAATGGTTTAGCCTGTTAATGACCTTCAAAAATCACTTCAGCCCCTTTTATGCCTCAGTTTCCTCTCACTGAGTAGGCAATTCATGCAATTGGTCTTCAAGGGAAAAGCTCCGAGGATCTTCAGAGATGTACAGAATTCACCTCTGGTATCTTGAGATCCCCCCATCTCATCTGAGTGCCCATGTTTTTGCTGTAATTGGTACAGGGACACCCTCTATGATCCATGGAGTTTGGGATGCAGTTTCCCTGACCATTTGCAGGCATCTGCTCCAAGGCTTTGCATCCTGGAATAGAAAACCCCAGAGTAAATTACACCTGCTTATCATCATCATCGAGCTCTGCAGGTGCCAGTGGAGGACCCTGTGCTGGGAAGAGTGGGATGAGGAAATACCAGGATGCACCAAGAGGTGGGGGGTGGTACACAGAATGCATATGCCATGCAGAGAGAGCTGTGTTTGCTTTCCTTCTCAGCACAACAAGCAGACAGACAGGAACGGGGTGGGGACAGCTGACCCGCTGAAGGTCTGCAGCAGGTTGCCAGTGGGGCAGGGAGGAGGAGATGCCTGTGCAAGGAGGTTGCCATAGCAATGGAGTAAAGGAGGACTGGCTGCAGCACGGTGCTGGATGGAGGCTCCTGAGCATCCTCTGGGCAGCAGAGATACTGAGGCTCTTGGCAGCGGGTGAGAAGAGAGACCCATCTAGGTCATAAACAGTGCAGCTCCTTGGAGCTGGTGGTTCTCTTCTGGGGAGGCTGCACGTGAATCACTCTTTCCCATGCCAAAATGACTCGGGAGATAGCTGCTGTGCTGTGCGGGCTCTGGTGAACTCAGGCTTTTCCTCACCCTGGGGTTCCTTGCCACAGCCCCCCAAGCAGCATGGCTGCATCATGCTGCTGTGCACAAGGTGCTTACAGAGACCAAACAGCTCCCCCAGCCAGCCCACTGAGCCGGAGGAGAGACAACCTTCCTGCATTACATTATCCAGCACATGGCCACCCAATCCCTTTCTGTAGCACCTGAAACTGCTCCCGCAGAAAACTGATCTGGTTCCCAAATGCTTTTCTCACCTATCCCAAAGTGACCTTCAGCCCCCCTCCAAAAAGAGAAGACTCCAGCAGCCTAAAGATCTGCCTGATCCCGAAGCCAGGACTCCCTCCTGAAATGTGCTGTCAGGATCAGGTGCTCTCTGCCTGCTCAGAATGGCTGGGGTAGGATGGAAGGGGGTCCATGTATGGCTGCAGAGGTTATGTCAGAGCCCTCTGCCCATTTGACACAGTGCCCATGGAGACCTCGTGGCCACACTCATGTGGTCTGTAAGCTTATCCCATCCTCTAGGGGCAATATAATGACACTGAAGGGACCAAGTTGAGCATCACAAGCATGGGTGCCTGATGACCCTATCTTCAGGCCTCCTTGCAGGGCTGCCTATGTTGGCTGTGTCCCTTCACATGCACATAGACCTGACTTCCAGCCTAATACCAGACAAAAGCCCAGAGAGGAGATCAAGTCTATATCCCTGGGCTGATCCAGATTGTAATGCCCTTGCAGGGGTTTGGAGAGTTGGTCACAGAAGTGCCCCATGCAGCGAGCTGAGATAGGGGTACAGCACCTATATTAATGGGATCCTGAGTGCACCTCGATATTCCTGTCCATTTACTACCATGAACAAACCCCCATAAGATCTCCCAGACAGCTCAGATGCTAAGGTGAGAAGCTGGGAAACAACCACTCCTGCTGCTTCAGCCCTTTGGATGTGCACATGGCATTCACAGATACATGGAGGAAAGAGGGAGGAAGTGAGGCTTTGCACTCACGTATTACCTGGCATGGAAAAGGGTTCACCCTGGCCTGTCTTTTTGCCCAAATAACCTCCAGGAAGAACCCTAAGCACTGCAGTGCAGGGGAGAGCATCGGGGGTCTGCAGCAGGAGGAGTGGAGCAGAAGCACCGAGATAAGAGAGGACCAGTTTGCACTCCCTGCCCTCAGGTACTTCCCCCTGGCTAACCTCCAGCATCACTAGCAGATGATGAGCAGATGATGAAACAATCTGTTTCAATAAATACATCTGTACATTCCTGCCTACCTACATCTGATCTTTCCTGCGTCCCCTGCACAAAATCAAACCGGCTCCTTGCGAGGAATGCTGCCTGCTTCAGATGGACCCTAGCAGCTCCATTTTCAGACCAGCTCCACTCCCACTTGGTCAGCATATTTCCAGCAGTTGTGTTGAAATCCTGCAGGAAGATGGGCACCACCAGATACTTGGCATTCCTATAAACCAGTTTTCCAAATGAGTGGGAAACATTTGCAGACTGGGAAGCTGGATGCAGTCAATGCTCTCAGCCCACCAGCCAAAACCAGGTATGATTATTCTTAGGGATTAAGCAGCAGCAGCAACAACAAGTTTACATTGCTCTTGGTGAAGACACCCTGTCCACCCTAGTCATCTGATAAAGCCTGTTGAGGTGAAGGGAGCTATGGATTATGGACAAAGGTGGCTTCATCATGCACTGCCCCAGGATCCTAGCAGGCTTGGGGACCTAATATTGGAGGTGACACACCTAACCTGTCCCCGGAGATGTCCCCAAAGGACCCATGGCTTTGCACAGCCAGTTCCTTCCCTTATCTTCCTTGCTGCCGCCCCAAGCACAGCCACATTTCGGCAAGGGAAGAGCAGGCAGGGATCTCTTCCTGTGCAGCCAGGATAATGCAAAGGTCCTTGGGAATGAGCCAGGCCAGGCTGAGACCTGCTCTCTTCCCAGGAGACCAGCACAGGGAGCTGTTTTCCCCTGGATGCAGCATGGAAGGCAGACGGGTGTGTTTCCAGGCAAGAAACAACACCTCTTTCTGCCTTTACTGGGCTTCATTCTGCCCGGCACTGAGCTCCCCCCTGCAAAGACAAGCGCCAGGGCCAGCTCCGATTGGAGACCCCAGGGCTCAAAGTTAAAGAGATCCAGGGAGCGAGGTCAGCCCTGCGGTGATCCCCTAATCCCCTTTACACGCTCCCTGTCCCATCCAATTACCCGCCTTGGGGGCTGCCCGAGCAGTGCTCGCTCACCCTGTGCTCAGCCCTGCCTTCTCCCCGTGCTGAGCTGCACTTTATTTAACACGGTTGCAGACAGAAAGCCTCAGGAAGGCTGCGTTACTGTGAGGATGCTTATTTCTGCTTTTCCTTTCTGCAGTGTCCCTGCTATGTTTTGCAAACACCTAATGGCTGCGGAGCTATCGCAAGCCCGGAGCCTGGGAGAATCCGCATTCCTCCCTTGCTTGGTTTCTGTGTTGAACAGATCCCCCCATGAAGAGGTACCACTGCAATAGGCAGTCAAAAGCAGGGGAGACCTGAGATGCAAATAACAGTGACAGCCCCGCTACGCTGAAATGATGGCTGGCACAGAGAAAACCCACAGCAGCCAAAACAGGCTTGTTCCCACTGGGAAGTGGAGAGTGCATAGGATACGGGGGATAAATAGACAAAGCCAAAGGAATCAGCTGGACACAGCTCCTCGCTGGAAACAAGGCACTTGGTTTTCAACCATTTTAACCCCCCTCTACTGAGGTCCCTGTTGTAGAAAAGCTCTGGAGGGCAGAGCAATACCAAATAACACAGAGAGCATCACAGGGAAATAGGGAGGGATCTCCTTGGCCCTGTGCGGGTCTCTGATATGGGAAAGGTGTCAGTGTGCACAGGCTGGGGAGGCTGCAGGCTGCACGATGTGGGTGCAGCGGTGTGCACCTCACTGGGGCGTGCTGGTTGGGGCTGCATGAATGCTTGTGCTGGAAGGGTATTGTTTTAGCAAGTAGCCCCAGGCTGTTACAAAGGGCTCTGAAGAAGTTCTGGGTGTTTTGATTCCCCCCCGCAGCTCAGTGTTAACGTGAGCTGCAAGGGCCAGACCTGAGCAGGTGGAAACCTGCTCTGCTCAGCACACCGTGCCTGCTTCAAAATCCAAAGGTAGCTACGCCCTGTGAGGCCACCACGCTCCATCCCATTATGTCTGCACTGCACGAGCCAGCAGACCTTAACAGGGCTCTCAGGGAATGGGCAGAGGGTGCAACAGGTGATTGTCCCAAAACCCGGATAGACTCTTCCCTGTTACACCTCATCCACTGCAGGGAAATCCCCATGAAGGTGGTGGGTACACCCTCACTGCTCGCGGATGGGAGCAAAAGATAAAAGCCTCGTCGTAAAGGAGGACTCTGCCCTGATTTCCAGCCAGTCCCAGTCAACGGGAGCCACCATGCTGGCCATCTCCAGGGAATCTGGCAAGGCAGGAGGTTGTGATTGCGGGGGGGAGGGGGGGGGGAGCATGCAAGCCCCCAGCCCATCCATGCCGCAGCCAGCACTCCAGACCCCAGTGCTGAACTTCACGGTGCATGGGATCCCATCACCCCCAGCCCGTTGCTCCCCAGGGACCCGGTCCGTGCTGCCACCCCTTTCCACAGGGCTAAAAAGGCCAGGGTTCCCCTCTAGCACCGGGAATTCCGCAGACAGGTCGGGTCCTGGGCGCAGCGCGGTGTCCCCAGGGTGGCCGTGCTCCCCTCCAGCCCCAGCACAGCCAGGGTAACGCGAGCAACAAACTTACCGGGGCCGGAGTCAGCGGGAGGATGGCACGGACATCTTGGCTCCCTCCTTGCGCCGCGGGTCTCCGAGCTGGTGTTTGCAGAGCGGTGCCACCAGTGCCTCCAGGAGACGGCCTCATCCTCCTCCCTGCCTCGCTTCAGAAAGCTGTGTGTGCCTCTCTTCTCTCATTTAAGGGACTCTCCCCCCCCCAGCGGTTGCGTCAGGCCTGTTGCCTGGAGACAGGCGAGCTATTCCAGTTTGAGCTTTTCAGTCCAGGGCTCCTCTCTCTCTTTCATTCATACCACCAAGCCCTCAACCCACCTCCCACCAAGCAATAGCCCTGGAGAGACCTGAAAGGGAGGAGCTGCACAGCCTGGGTCCTAAACATCCTCCGACACCAGCACCCAAACACGGGAGGAGGGGGGAGCGATGCTGCCGGCGCGGGTATCAGGGATGAAGGGGTGCTGTGGAGGGAGGCTTGCAGGAGATGCTGTTGTGCTCCCAAAGGAGCCTTCGGTTCTTCCCGACACAGACCGGGCTGGTGTCCCTCCTGCGGCTGTTCCCGCTGCATGCCACGGAGAGCTATGAGCCCTGCTGGGGTCTGCTGGCACTCGGGAGAGCTTTGGGATAACGTTTTCCAGATGCCACCACTTGTCCAGGGGTCAGCGTGTGTGTGTGGAGGGGAGTTTTGCAAGGCTGCATCAGCATCTCCGGGAAGCCCTAGGGTGGGTATCCGTGGGCACTGTGGCTAGTACCCTCCTGCTGACACCATCCATCCCCAGACAGAAACCAGCGCAGAAACCAGCCTTTGGCTGTCTTTTGGCCTGGGAAAGCGCCTGTTGCTCCCACGGCTCCCTTGGTGGGGCTAGAAACCATTTTCACTGCTTCCAGGAAGGGTCTGATAGAGGCATATGCCCCAGCTGCTGGCTGAGCTGGGGCCAGAAGCAAAGGCAGGGAAAGGGGGGGTTTCTTTCCTTCACTAGAAGATGAAGGTTAACCCCTTTATGTCTGGGAACAGCTCTCAAAAGAATCCCCACATGCAGCTATTGCACATCTGGTGTCTCAGAACCACCACTGGCCATGTTTGTGAACCTGGGGGTGTGAAGGGTTAAGTGTTGCCAGCCGACACCTAGCCATCCAGGCCCCTTCCCACATTCAGCTTTTGTGAGAGAAACCCCCTTGAAGCCTCCATTTGTGGTTTTTTACCTTTCTCTTCTCCTGCCTAAACCATCCCTCCTCTCCTCCCTGGCATCAGGGAGAGATTTACAGCCCTTTTTGGACTCTGGCATCCCAACAAGGGCCTTACAAACCACAGCACAGGGTTGGGATTTCCCTTCAAATGCCAGACAGTGGGGTGCTCCTGACCCCCCCACTAATTTAGAGGCTGTGCCTGTAAAGCACTGAGCACAGGGGGAGCGGGCACCTGCGAGATGCAGCAATGCAGATTCAAAGAGTGCAGAACATCACTTTCTGATGCAAAAGTACTTCCAATGCTTTCATTTATGTTCTTTTGCTTTGCCAGCACCCTTTTTTGTCAGATTTTAGATATGCATATGCAAGCTCAAGTCTGGTGATCAGCTCTTACTGTGCTGCAAGCAGGCACCCCACGGCTTGCACCGCCCTTCCTGGGGATGCTGGCAATGGAAAGGGACCAAGGAGATGGAAGAGCTGTTGCCTTCATGCTAAAACCATCTGACGCTGATCTACAGCTGCATTTAAGCTCTTAGCAGCAATTGGGTGGTTCAGCATTTCCTGCAACACCTCATCAAAACAAAATCTGGGTCTGTGCTGTTGAACCGAACAGTGCCAGGGAATGGGGATGGGCACAGGACACAAAACCCTGGTCTGGTTTTGATGTGGGAGGAGCAATCCCAGGACATGTCTGGAATTGTGACATGGCTGGATTCATGATAGGAAAGAGCAAGACCAGGGCCCCTTCCTGAGAGACAAGTTGGATTCAGCCACCCGGATTTGATAGCCAAGAGCATTTGATTGCATGGATGTAGCCAGACAGGGTCAGTCGACCTTATGGCCAGGGAGCAGGTCTAGCATGGGTTAGTTTACTAGCAGAGGTGTCGCTTCCGAGGCTGGACATCTATCTCATTGCAGTAACAGACCACACACTGTCACCCGCTCCCTCTTCTGTAAATGTTTATTTTTAATTCAGTTGTGTAATGGATTTCAGACGAGCTGCCATGAGACACCAGTGAAAGGCTGGAGCCAGGTCCTCCTGAGGTCTCTTCATGGGTTTTGAGTGGGTTTTTTGCCTGTATCTTGTTTAAGTTGTCTTCACCTAAAAAAACTTCAGTGAGGAACTGCTGAAGAGCCACAACGCTCCCAGTGATGAGGATTTAACCCCAACGAGTGGAAACCTGAGATTAGGTGTGATGAGTCAAAACAACCTATGCAACATGAACACTGCTGTTATAGCTCAGACTGTTTTCTTTTGCTCAGATATAGTGAGGCCTTTCCGTTGCACTCAGAGCTCTCGTTCCCAGGGCTACATCCCACAGCATCTTTGAAAACAGCAGCTTTTCCAGCTGACTCCTGAATACTTGGGAACGCATGGATCCAAGCCTGAGTCCTTGCTAGGGTGTGGTTTTGCAGAGCTCAAGCTGGGAATTGCTTGTTGTACTGGCAATTCCCTCCAGATTTTCTTGGGAACCCAAATCTCCTGTGCCAGTCTGAGCACCACAAATGCTATAAATGTAGATGTGGCCTATAGCCAGCTAAATCTCATCTGGACCTTCTGAACTGCTCATGTAACACCCGAAATGGACAGAAATGGCCATTCCTCTGCCATAATGGCAGCAGTTCAGCACAGCTTGTGTTTGAACCATCTGATTTTTGCCCTGGCTGCTGGCTTTGGGTGATTTCTTCTTGCAGGCATTCTGTCAACAGAGCATGGAAGACCTGGATCTCCCATCAGGGGTGTGTGGCCATTCTGTGGGACCATGAGCTGGGAGCATCTTGCATCCATGGTTGCTTCTTGGTTACTAATAAACACGTTCACCCCAAAGCAAGTCCCCGGGGCTGAGCCTGCCCAGGCTGGGATGGGTGGATATCAACCATCACCACCATATCATAGCCAGTGCAGCCTTCACTCCTTACACAGGGACCTATACAAGGAAATTCCTCTGATATGGTTGGAGGGCCACCTGGGAGCCCGTCAAACTGGAAATGTGGCAGAGGCACCTACAGAGGGCAGCAGGTCTCCAGCTAAGACCGTCCCCTGGTCACCCCAAGGGAACTGATGCCAGTACATACCTGCGGAGCATTGTGGTCCCTTGGCTGCTCATGGTTATGGATCACTGAGGGACCCGGAGCTGGCCTTTTTCAGTATTGCTCTGTTGTTTAGTCTGGGTCAGCTGTTTAAGGGCTTCATCTGGCTTTTCTCAGCTGAGATGGCATGAGCTTTCTGAGCAACACAGGTGAAATAACCCACTGCAAGAACAGGCCCCTGCACCCACGTGTTCGGTGCTGCTCTGCTTCTGGATGATGCTAAGCATAAACTGCTCTTCCTGCTAACATGATGCGCATGCTGGGACTGAGGAATTGCTTTTCCTATGGAACGCGTTGCCTGACCCCACCTTCAGACTGAGCCTGCTGTATACTAGTTGTCAATTACTGGGATGGGGCATGGAGAGGCATAGGGTTCTGGGAACTTAGAATAAAGAGTCAGGGAGTGCTGAGGCTATTTCAGCATAATACAGGTTCAAGCAAGACGTAAATTGGCTTTTGTGCCATATATCCTGCAGGCAGGTGGAGGATGAGCCATGATGTAGGGATGCAGGGGAAAGATGGAGGTATGTGAAGTGCTTCAAGGCAAAGAACTGTAAGTATTTTACCACTACTTGGAATAGTTCTTAACCTTGACCCTCCTCATGCAAATGCCATCCCTGTAAGCTGTTAGGCTTCTTTCTTATGTATTTTCATACATACATACATATTTTGTTATATATATTATATATTCATATATGTATTTCATTTTCCTATGGATTTCCAAACCAGTTGTGTAGTTGGTCCATCCATTAACCCCTCCCATCAAATAATTTGTAAACTTTCAGGTGACTTCTAGCTGAGTTTGGTAGAGAAGGAAACGTTTCAAAGATGAAAAGAGGTTGCTGAGCAAAGGCATGAGAAGACTTAAGTCCACCAGAGGAAAAGCTTTGTGATGAGCACGACAGGGTGTTAAACACCAAAGCATCAACAGGAAATCAGATTTCATAAGTTTCACCATCATGGAACATCGTGGTGGTTTTTGCGTTGTTTGTTGCTTTGGGGTATCGGCAATATTTTCTCTATGGGTTTCTCGCAGATGAGGCATTATCAAAGACAAAAGCAAAGGGCAATTGAGCCTGAAATCCCATCAAAAGTATGGTGGGAATTTTCAGCCCATCTGTTTTTTCATAGGTAAAAAGAAATAAGTTTCCTGAACCCAGAACTCATTTTGCAGGTGTGTATTAGCGATTATTTCTCCTTCCAACTCCCAAAAGTTCCCAAGCCCTGAAGAACTAGAAATCATTTCCAAAGAAAATCAAAACCTTTTTGAAGTTTTGAAGTGGCTCATTTGTAATAAGTGTCCTCTGGTAAACCTTCTAGTCTAGTTCGTTGCAGCAACCCATAAAAGTAAAGGGCACTTAAAATCTCAGGACTGATGTGTAGCTTTTATTGCTTCTCTGCTGGAAAAAGGACTTGAGCTCCACTTTCACCAAAAATATTTGTTGTAAATTATTTTCCATAACTACTAGTGAATGGACAATTCCTCTTCCAGTTTTACCTGGCTACCTGGCAAAGGCATCTTCATTGAAAAATGCAAGAGTGGAGGAATCTTGGGTGGACACCATCTCCTCAAACTTCAGTTCAGAAATTCTGATTACCTCAATTTATTTCCTTGGCTTCCTGAGCCAAGGAATGGAAAGATAAGGAAAGCCCATTTCAGATACCTGCTTTAAGTTAGGATGAATGAACAGCGAAATAGAAAGCTGCAGCACCCATGTCCTTGTCATCCCCTTTGGTGCCAGAGTCAGTTTCTGCTCACTTTCATGTCAAGAGCTGGGTGAAATTTGCTGTATTTGTAACTGATTGTCAGAAAACAGAGTTTCACTTCAACACTTTGTGGCCAGACAAACTTAATCTGGACAACAGCTTCAGCTCAGGGCCAAAAATGAAAGACATATTATTGGGTTTGACCTTTTTGTCAGCACACCAACTTGTTTTTTCATCTTCCTAGATCAAACTGACCCTTTTTGGGGACATTTAAATGAAAACAAGTGAAATGTTGTTGTTTGTTACATTCTTCTGCTTGATACTTTTTCAGCCTAGCGAATGGGCCATTAAATCAGACTTTTGCAGAGCACTCCCAGTAACCACTGTCCCAGACAGATCCATGCTTTGGAGGTTGTCTCCATCCCCTAGTCACTCATCAGCAGCAGGACGCTATCTCAGCCAGTGATGCTACCTGGAACTGCAGGACAGAGGCTCAAGATTCAGACTTCTCTTACTTAAAGTTGCCATCACCCATCTCAAAAAAGAGTTGATAAGCAGCCTGTTGGTCAAACAGCCTTAGGCAGGATTCCTATTGTCCTCTTTGGCCGGCTTGCCTTTCTGCTTGTCTTGAGATGCTGAGGCTGTATCCAAAATCCAGAAGGATCAGTAGGTGACACACACCAGCTCCCTGGCCTTCAGGTGGGTTGGTGGGTCTGAAATCCTTCTGATGAGGGTGGGAATGAGAATGATGGAGTACTGCGTGGTGCTCAGAGACCCTTGGGGATAGCAGGCACCAAAAAGCACAGTGAGACCTGAGCTGGTCTCTGCCCACAGCAGGTCCAGGTGGGCATTGGGAGCTCAGCGCAGGCAGAGCTTTTTGCAATACATCAAGTAGCTGATTGCACAAAACAGAGAGAAGGCAGATCTTACAAGAGATTACATACAAGTGATCAAGAGATATGAGGATGTGCTGTCAGCTCTCTCCCATAACTCTCTTCCCCCCATGCCCTAAATGTCATCAGCTGTCTTGTACTCATTACCGAAAGGCAGCCAGCTCTACAGAGTGAGATTAAGTTGCTCTTTACGTGAGATTTTAAGCAGAAATAGAACCTCAAGATGGAAAGTGAGTGAGATTACAGCACCGTAACCTAGTTAACTACAAAAGGGGGAACTGCTCAGATTAGAACCTGACCAGAGATAAATTCTCCCAGAGGTTAAATGCATGCAATAAGTATCTCCACGCCTCCTGTTGACCCAGGCTGATCTTAGCTGTGAATGGGCCAATCTAGAAAACTCAAAGACCCATATTTCTCCTCTCATCTGCAAACCAGTTTTACACCCTGTGGCTCAAGGGGATGACTTTCAACTTACACCAGCCTGAATGAGAGTGATTCAGGGCATCATTTGTAGCAGGACAGTACTTTTTATAGCCCACTGAGCTTTCGTGGGTAATGGCTCTTCTAAGGTAGACACTGTTCTAACATTAGCACTAAATGAGCAGTGTGGTTATACTACCATCTCTTAATTGCTATAAGTGTAACAAACCAGTTTGATTTGTCATTCAGCTGTTATCGACAGGAAACCACTAACAGCAGTCAACTGATGTCACCAAGAAAGGTTAGGGTTTCTCTTTCTACCTGCTCTAAGGACTAAGACTTATCAAGACACTGTTTATGTTCTTAAGTGCTCACCCTGAGAGGGATTATTTAACTTTTGTGGACAGCTAGGATCAAGTGGGATATGATTTAATCGAAACATAGGACTCACCAGGTAAGTGGAAACAGTTTTCCGGCAATTTTGCTTCATTCCTGCTGCCTGATTATTGCTTGGTGCTCTGTTGGGTGCATCTCCTTAGATCATTTAGATCACTGGCTCATCTATGAGATGGTGGTAATGAAGCCCTTAAAAGACTGGGTGAGGGAGATTCAGTGGGCAGGGTGCACATCTTTCTTTCCTTCTGGCAGTGTTGCAGTGCTGAAATCGGTGTGCTCGTTGAGGTGGGACTGATGCTCTAAGTCATCCACTGGCCCTGCAGGTCCTCTCTTGGGCACAGATAAATCTCTTTCTCTTAAAAAGAGCAAAAGTAGATGGATAAATAGCAAGGTGTAAATGTGTTTCTTCTAGCTGAATTCTCTGGAATGGTGAAAGAGAGGGGGAAAAGTGAAATCAGGAACCTAATTCTGATTTTAAGGGGAAGTGGAAGTTTGGATGCTCAGGCTCCAGTTTGGCAGTCTTTGCTGAGCTGGAGGAATGGATGGTGTGTATGGTGTAAAGGAAGGCTGAAGCTTTAATTCCCTTTCTGCCAAGAAGCACATTTGAGGTGGAGGATCATTGCTTTCTTTTGCCCCGCTGATGGGTTGGATGGCCTCCTTGGTGGTAATATTTTGTTTCCATCAGCTCCTCCATTCAGGCTGGTAAAACCATTGTCAGGTTAAAGCTGGTTGTGGACAAAGCTCCTGGCAAGTTGGAGATCTCCAGCGGAGTCATGGGAAGGATGGACTTCATGCTTTGCCCTGTGGTCAGTTCCCATCCCCATGCATGCAGAGTCTACATTAAGTTCATAACTTTTATTCTTGATTAAAATTTAGGCCAGACTCAAAATTCCACAGTGCTCTAACATGGAGCCTGGGTATCTCAGAAGCCATCTTGCTTGCTGTGCCACTTCTGGGAAGTAAAAGCAGTTGCAGTATTGCATGGTATTTGCATCTCAGACCTCCTCTGGTATTCATTCAGTGCCTTACGGCCAGTGATGTCTGTCAAGGCAATGCTCTTCAAGGTGTTTCAGTTATCCCACTAGAGAAATGGGGATATCTCTTGCCTTTCTTGCAGGAATGCTGTGATATTTAGTTGATTTTGAAAGAGCAAAGTCAGGACGAGGTGCGTACACTGTCAGCAGAGAGGGCTCCGGCAGCATGCAGTGCACACACACGATCCCTGATCTGGTATGTGCTGGAAAAGAGAAGGCAGATGGAAATGAAGAAGAATAAAAGGAGAGGTGTAGGGCAGCAAAGGCACCCTCAGTAATATGCTCCATTAGTCATTCTGTCAAGGTTTAAATATTTTTTATAAGAAGGCTTGAGGGCTGCAGAGCTTCTAATTTCTTGTTCACATTTTGTTTTTTCTCCCAGACCTCCCTCCTGAAGCATTATTGGAGAGGAGTGTTTTACAAGAGTCTGTAGGGACAGGACAAGGGGGAATGGCTTTAACCTGACAGTGGGGAGATTGAGATGAGCTCTTAGGCAGAAGTTCTTCCCTGTGAGGGTGCTGAAGCCCTGGCACAGGGTGCCCAGAGCAGCTGTGGCTGCCCCATCCCTGGCAGTGTTCAAGGCCAGGTTGGACGGGGCTTGGAGCAACCTGGTCTAATGGAAGGTGTCCCTGCCTGTGGCAGCTGACTGGAACGGGATGAGCTTTATTGTCCCTTCCAACCCAAACCATTCTGTGATTCTGTGTTTCTATGATTACAGCTACACTGATGCACAAAACACTGTGAAAAAAAACCACAAAACTTTTGGCCCATTCTTGATTTGTTCTACCAAAGTAGAGCTATCACTGTACCTTGAGGATTATGAATTCAAAGGCTGAACTTTCTGGTGAAGGAGGAAAGACCCAAGACATATTTTAGTGAAAATTTCATAAAGATTATACTGTTTTTTCTTTATCTGCTTTTCTAATGACTTTCATGTTCTGCCATGCTCATGGCATGTTCAGGGATGTTTTAATACCCTGGGCTTTCAGCTGAAATGATGTGCTCCCTAGCCTTTGTTAAATAAGCCCAAGAGATCCCAGGCTCCGCATCCCACTTCTGCACAGTTTGGGCTCTGTTTCTCTTTCAGACAAGGCTATCGGCTCTTTTATTTCTGCTTTGTGACTTTCTTTCTGACTGACTTTTAAACTTTTAATTCTCTGTGGCGGTTTTATGACCACATAAGAATCCTAAAAAATCTTGAAGCTGTATTTATGTGCAGACAAGGCTTTTTGGCATTTTGGTTAGGTCACCATGGATTTCACAGGGGTCACAGCACTATGTTAGGCAGAGTAGGAACACCTGGGCACATTATTACTTCATCATTATTTGTCTTCCTTCCTTCCCCTCATTCTTTTCATTCTCTCTGTGTTAAAAAGGGAGTTTCCTTGCTGCTCTTCCACGGTTGACAAGACTCTGGAGGCAACCAAGCATTGACTCCATGTGGGTGAGCTCCCCTGTAGTCAATTATTTCCTGCAGCCCACAGGGTTTAATTATGGGCAAGAATTTAGCAAAATACCTGGGGCTAAACCCCACTGGAGCCTTTGACAGCCCTGAAGTTTCCATTCACGTCTTCATTTTATGTGGTGCGAGTCAGCTTTCTCATTGGGTCGACACCACATTGCAAGATTAGGAGTAGCTGAGGGGATAAAAAGGATGAAATTCCCCTGTGGCAGAGGTTTTCGTAACAAATTACAGCCTCAGGGTACTGCTGCTCATTGCGGAAGGAATGGTGGCACCACTGGTCATCACTGTGAATCTCAAAAGAAAGTACATCCCTGTATGAAACAGGATACAGAGGGTCATGGTTATAGCTTAAAAATAAATGCTAAAGGGCAACATATGCAATACAAACGTAAACCAGGCCTCCAGTATTTCATGCTGGACAAGCCATTTACTTCTAATGGGTCATCCTGTCTTCTACATCAGAGGTTAAATCTATGTGAATTCATTTGACTGGCCAGCCAAAAAAATCTGCCTCTCCTCCAAACAGAAAAACCACAGCAGACCCTTGTGTTGAAATAAAAAATAGGTCTCTAATTATAATTGTTTCCAAGAAAAAGTTGCAACTGAGCAGGAGAACAATGTTTCTGCGGTTTTACAGAACAGTTTTGCCTTTGCTAATGTTGGTTAGTTTTAATTAGGAAAACATTGTGGGCTTGCCTATTCAAACTTCCAAACCCAGTTATAAATGCCTGAAGGAGGGGGACACAGTTGAGCAAAGGTGTGGAAATGAAATGAGGAATTTTTGAAAGAAGTCTTGTTGTTTCATATGCTGAAGCCACTGCAAAGAAGGAGAGAATAAATATCATCGACCATGGGCAAGACAAGCAGTTGTAGGTCTTTCAGTGATGGAGATTAGTGCTAATATTTAGGAAGTCATTTTAAGGCTATAGGAATTGGAGAGCTGTGATAGACTGATGGAGAGCAGTGGGAATCTTCATTATTGAAAGCTTTGAGGACTAGATGATCTTTTGAGGTCCCTTCCAACCCTTGAGATTCTGTGATTCCGTGATTCTGTGAGTTAGGTAGTCTCTCAGATGCAATGTAGGTCCACCAGACCAACCTTCCAGGGGCCAGTCATCCATTTCTGCCATCCTGTGTAACATAAGTGGCTTCAGAAGTTAAATGTGCCTTTCAAAATCTCACTCCTGCATTTCCCTCTCTCTTTTTATTTATGTATTTATGAAATTATTCTCCAGATTTGACCAAATCGCACTGATTTCTGCTCCTCTGGAAGCCGTGAAAAGTGTTACTGGTCAAAAAGCAGCATGCAAGACTCCTATCCTGTGTCTCAGGCACGTATGAAAATGAGCACAAATAGAAAACACATGGTTTGCAATTGAGATTTTTGCTACCTAATGAGGGGCGAAGTGTCAAAATTTAGAATCGTAGAATAGTTAGGGTTGGAAAGGACCTTAAAATCATCAAGTTCCAACCCCCCTGCCATGAACAGGGACACCTCACACTAAACCGTGTCACCCAAATCTCTGTCCAGCCTGGCCTTGAACACTGCCAGGGATGGAGCATTCACAACCTTCCTGGGCAACCCATTCCAGTGCCTCACCACCCTAACAAGAAAGAATTCCTTCCTTATACCCAATCTAAACTTCCCTTGTTTAAGTTTTAACCTGTTACCCCTTGTCCTATCACTACAGTCCCTAATGAAGAGTCCCTCCCCAGCATCCCTACAGCCCCCCTTCAGATACTGGAAGGCTGCTATGAGGTCTCCACGCAGCCTTCTCTTCTCCAAGCTGAACAGCCCCAACTTTCTCAGCCTATCTTCATACGGGAGGTGCTCCAGTCCCCTGATCATCCTTGTGGCCCTCCTCTGGACTTGTTCCAACAGTTCCATGCCCTTTTTATGTTGAGGACACCAGAACTGTACACAATACTCCAGGTGAGATCTCACGAGAGCAGAGTAGAGGGGCAGGATCACCTCCTTGGACCTGCTGGTCACACTCCTTTTGATGCAGCCCAGGATACAGTTGGCTTTCTGGGCTGCAAGCGCACATTGAAGCCGAATCATGTTCATTTTCTCATTGACCAGCACCCCCAAGTCCTTCTCCGCAGGGCTGCTCTGAATCTCTTCTCTGCCCAACCTGTAGCTGTGCCTGGGATTGCTCCGACCCAGGTGTAGGACCTTGCACTTGGCATGGTTAAACTTCATGAGGTTGGCATCAGCCCACCTCACAAGCGTGTCAAGGTCCCTCTGGATGGCATTCCTTCCCTCCAGAGTATCAACCGAACCACACAGCTTGGTGTCATCGGCAAATTTGCAGAGGGTGCACTCAATCCCACTGTCCATGTCAGCGACAAAGATGTTAAACAAGACTGGTCCCAACACTGATCCCTGAGGGACACCACTCGTTACTGGTCTCTAGCTGGATATTGGGCCATTGACCACAACACTTTGCATGTGGCCATCCAGCCATTTCTTTATCCACCGAGTGGTCCATCTATCAAATTGATGTCTCTCCAGTTTATTCCATTGTTTGTGATATCCTGGCTGCCTTACTGATGATT